ACTGGTGACTGCTTCTTTTGGAAGGAAGGAGAAGAAAACAGAGTAAGAGGAAGGAAAGCAATAAAATGAAAATCAGAGCCCAGTTCCGGAAACGTGGGTGGATGGGGCCCGGCTTTAGAAAACCAGCTTCACAGGTATTACTACTCACCTACTTCACTGTAAACTACTGAATGCAAACCTTAGATTAAACAAGGTGAAGAGGACCCACAGGGGTGCATTTAAACTTCATTCTCTGTTCCCAGTGTCCCAGTTCATCACAGACACTCATTAGCATGTGGACTTAATGAATGAATGAACTCTCCACTCCTTGTTTAAAAAAAATTCAAGCAGAGGATATAACTTCCTAGCAGAGCACTTTTCCTAGCATGTGCCAGGTCCTGAGTTCAATCCCAAGCACCACAAAAACAAAAAGAAAAGTATAAAATATCTCCCCTAGGAGACAAGGTTCTGAAGTACCTGAACACATAGGATGGAGGTCTCAATAATAATTAGTAGCTCTTACTATTACTACTATAATTATTGCTTTATAATTTGCATATATTATCTCTGCTATTACATCGTAAACCTTGGGGTGAAGGGAAATGTATCTTTGATTATCCTAAGGTTCTTAGCATAGTGTCTTGAATGGGATAAATTCTCTCTAAAAATTCAGAAATTAAATGACCTTCTTTTTGGGAATTCATTCAGCAGGTTAAAGGAATTGTTTACCCCACTTTTGTAGAGGTGAAATCAGGTTTGCTATGACTTGCTTGGCAATTAAATGTGATGAAGATCATTTGTGTTACTTCCAGGACAATCTTTTTTTTTTCTTTTGGTGGCACCAGGGGTTGAACTCTGCAAATTGCATTTGCTGGGCAGGTGCTCTACTACTTGATCCCCTCAGCCACTCTCTTTTGCATTGGTTATTTTTGAAATAGGGTCTCAGTTTTGCCCAGGCTGACTTGGACTGCAATCCTCCAGTTTGTGCTTCCTGGCACAGTTGGATGACAGGTGCACACTACTACTCTGCCAGACCTTTTTGCCTTGGTTATTTTCTAAGATAGGGTCTCCCTTTATGCCCAAGCCAGCCTAGACCACTATCCTCCTATTTGTGCTTCCCCTTGTAACTGAAATGACAGGCATGCACCACCGTGCCCAGCCACTGGATGAGATGAGGTCTCTCAAAGTTTTTGCCCAGGCTGGACTTGAACCAAGATCCTCCCAATCTCCACTTCTAGAGAATTTAGGATTACAAGCTTGAGCTACCACACCCAGCCACTTCTAGGACAATCTTTAAGAAACAGTTCATTATTTTCCCTTTCTTTGTCTCAGCAAGGAAGATGACCATAATTCCAGAAAGTGGCTGCTCCAGTCCAGTGCATGGGTCCTGGAGAAAAGTGGGGCAGAGGTACAACCAACCAATGCTGATGAAATGCTGTGTGCAAGAAATAAACCTCTGTTTTTGAATACTAAAAATAAAAAAGAGCACATTGAGAAATAAATGTTCAAAACTAACTTAACTGCTCTTTGTAGGGGATACTAAATGCCAAGTTTCTGGAACACAGATATAAAAAAAAAATCTATAAACTGTTGTAAAAACAAGGCCAGAAACAGATCTTGTGTAGAGAAAAACAAAACCAAAACCAAAAAAAAACCCTATAGAGCATCCATGGAGAATACCATGTAGGTAATTAAAAGTGCACAGCTTTACTGTCCCCTCCCAGAGACTACTCAATCTAAGGTAATCAAACTGTAGCTCTCTTTGCATTCCACTTGTAGCCACTGGTATTTTTCCTTTTCAGTTGATTGATTGAGTTGGTTGATTTTCAAGTTCTACCTCCCCCTCATCTCCACTGGAATGGATACTCTGCAGGAGCTACGTTTTTATATTCACAGCACCCAGAGCTGTGCACATAGTTGGTAGACCCATAAATACTCACTGAGGGAAGGGGCACATAAACAGAAATAATTTTCTCTGTATTACTTATCAACATATGTATAAGTTTGTAAAAATACAAAAAGAGCCTGAAGTATAAACAGAAATCTTTGGGGGGGTGGGATGTAAGGAAAGCAGGGGTTTGGGAGTGGGACTCAGTGGAGTGGTTAGAGGTAACTTATGTAACTTTTTTTTTTTGAGACAGGGTCTTGCTATGTAGCTGAGGTTGGCCTGGAACTCATGATCTTCCTCCTCAGCCTCCCAAGTGCTGGGATTATAGACATATATACCACCACATTTTTACTTACATCTGAAATGAGTCTATTTGTTTTTGTGTTTTTTTTTTTAATAAACTGAGCACAGAAGATGACAAAACGTTAACTATTCTGATGATAGTGCGTTTTATCATCCTTTTGTACTTTTCCATTTCTCAAGAAAAAAGAAAAATCTGAATGGAGAAAAGTAGTTTTGTGATTTTATAGGATCTAAAGCTCTCTAAATGCTGTTACCTATACTTGATCATTGTAATATTTTTGAGATAACTACAATCAGCCTTATACTTAGGAGAGGAAACTTGAGACCAAGATTTATGTAGGTCCATGGCAGGAAGTCTAATCAAATCAGAGCACTGTTTGACTGAGGACCTGACTTTTTCAAGAGATGCCATCAGTATGCTTCAGGAGTGAGAGCAAGGTGAGAGGTAAAAAGAAGGTAGCTTTGAGGTCTACAGGTAAGAGACTTGGGAGGCATAAATCTAAACTGATAGAGAATGAATGAGCAAATATTTTAATACAAAGAGAAAATATGCCCCAGGTGATTGTAGCCAAGTTGCTTTTACTTTTACGCTTACTTTCCTTACCTGTAAAATTGGGTGATTACCTGCTTCATATGGTTTTTTGTGAGGAATAGGTTATATACCTTTTGTAACCAACCCAGCATAGCATCTGGCACTTAATAGCTGTTACTCTTTGTCTGTTTCCTCTCAGTTTCTTCTTATGTGCCCACAAATTGCACTGAGCCATTGGAAACTGCCTTTTTTGCAAGTAAAAATGGTTGTAAATGGGTGATTTCATGAGGTTCATGTGATTATGAATGTAAGCTCTGACCCTGTTATCAGCTACCCCATCTGGAATTTGTATGTGGGAATTTACAAACTGGGCAGGCCAGAGTTTGAATAAAACTGATAATTGTTTGGAGCTTGGGTTTGAGAGTCTATTTGCAAGTATAGATAAAAGGGATTTGCAAGGACGTAAGGAGAGGGAGACTCCAATTGGCAGAGGCAGGTTTATATAATCAGGTTAGACAGTTGCAGAGTAGACAGCTGCTCAATAGCTTTTGGCACCAAAATATATTGACCAGCTGGGATATCATTAATGCTTAACAATTTTATCCTTATGACCACATCTTGGCCAATTAGGTTGTCTTTGACCACCAAAGGGTATTGATACACACTGTTGTAAATGCCACATGTGTGTCAGTGTAGTTCGTATTCCATTACATTGATGTGTTGCATAATACACACTAAATATAAATGCATTTGCTTCTGCAGACACCATGCGAGATGGTGATTAAAGAGGAGGAGAATTAAAATATAAATTAATTTCTTTTTAAAAAACAATTAGCCACTACTCTGGGAAACATTTGTGGCTTATGTGTGCGTGCTGAAAGCAAAAGGATTCAAATCCAGTCATTTTTTTTTAAGTGACTTTTTGAAGAATTACTATTAAAAATAAGTAATCTGGCTGGGGAAAGCCAGTTCTGCACAATATATGCATACAAATAAATACAGGCAGGAGAGGGACGATGGCTAAAAGACAGTGGCTGAAAGGCATAAAATGGAACACTGCTTGCAAAGGCAGGAGAAGCCCACGACCAGGGTCGTAAGCCTGTGGAGACATCCAGAAATGCTCCCACTAAGTAATCTCCCATAGTATTATGAGACAGGCAAACCAAGAACCAAATACCGCACATGTACATGCCACCGTGTTTCCCAGAATCCTTCATGCACAAGATTTAGTACACTAAAACATTCCTCATATGCTAAGAAGTTGTCACTGCTGTGGCATTTGCTGAATAGAGTTTGACATACATATTTTTATATAATAATAAAAAGTCATCCAAATACAGAACCTTACTTACTACCTAATCCAAAATGCATGTGGATAAGACATTTCACCTGTAAATTGTTTCTGTTTTATGTCGTTTGAATGTATTTAATTTGACCCCTGCTGAGTAACCCTTCTTGGTTACTTTCATCAGTATTTCTGCAGTGACCTTTGGATCTGAGGCTGGTCATTTATTTTTCCTTCCTTATTACATAGGTACTTGTTTTGCAGTTCCCTATGTGAACTGCTAAGAGTAGCGTCAACGTTCTTTCTTCAAAGCCAGAGATGTAACCTTAAGAACTTTCTATGGGGAGTGTAAAACAGAGCAAGTTACTTCTTACACCTATGGAAAGAATCATGGAAAAGACATCAAAAAACATTTCCTGAGTCCCAAAGGCAACTATAAGCATGAGGAATCATTTTTGAAAACATTTCCATATTTTTCTTTTTTTCTTGCTGGTGTTACAGGAGCTATTAAAGTCCATTTTTACTTTTATAATCTACTTTCTTTTTTTGCGGTGGCATTGGGATTTGAGCTCAGGGCTCTGTGCTTGGTAGGCAAGCTCTCTACCACTTCAGCCATGTCTCCAGCCCTAGTTTTGTCTTTTTTTTTTTTTTCCTTCTTCTTTAGATAGAGGGTTTTAACAAAATTTGGAGAAAATAGATCACAGACTATGAGTAGTGAAAAGGACTTCAGCAATCACCTGTGTCTAATCTCTCATCTATGGATGAAAAACTTTAGCTGGAGAAAGTTTCCACAACCTGTTAACATTTACCACCAGTTCATGGAAGAGGCAAGACCAGATGCCAAACGTGTATCAGTAACCAAATACCATTTCCTCTAACTTGTGCTCTAGCAACCTCTTTTTAAGCCACCTTTTCCTTTAAGCATTATGCACTCACTTCACATTCCCAGACTGTACAGCCATCACCTTTGCTGTCGAGGCTTTGTTTTTGAAAGGAAATCATGGGATCACTTTTTAAGTTGAAATTCCTGGGATGAAGGAATCCTGTGAGCCAGCATGTAGGAAGTGTCCATCTCCGTGCTCTGTCTTCACCGTGCACTGGCACTCTTTCACCTGCATCACCACCTTGACCACAGGCTCCAGGCCAGTGCAGTTCAGCTGCAAGTGCATCCTGGTGAACTTGGCAGGTGAGCAGTGGGAGCAGAAGGTGTGGGGGAGCGGTGCAGCTCCAGGAAAATGAGCAGACCCACACTTCCCAAAGCAAAGACTGTTCTGGACAACTACTTTGTCACAGTCCTTGTGGGTGACAGTCTGAAAAGCAAACATATTTCCATCACATTATCTTGAGTCATTTTCTCAATGCACATAATGAAGAAGCTATAGAGTGTAAATCAGGATAATTTAAACTAAAATTTCCAAAGCTTTCCTGTTTAGGATACATTTGGCAATATTCAAACTATGGTATCTATAAAGCCACTTCAACTAAGCTTTCTTTACCGATTAATTATTAAATTAGATGGTAGGAAATCCCTAACTTAACATGCAAATAATTTGTACTATAAAAGTTTAATTTTGTCTAACTGGATGGATGTAACCAATTGAAAAGAATCTTTTTTTTTTTGCCGGGGTGGGGGGTTGGCAGGAATGGTACTGGGGTTTGAATTTAGGACCTCACACTTGTTAGGCAGGTGTTCTACCACTTGAGCCATGCCTCCAGGCTTCTGAAAAAATCCTAATGGCAATCTTCTTAAAGTGCTGTACCTTTCTGTTCTTTATAGTTCATTGTGCATAGTAGGTACTTAACACCTATTATTTCAGTTGATCATAGAATAAGTCAGGAAATCATGAGTTTAATTCTATCCTATTTTGTGGGGCCTGAGTCTATGAAGATATATGCAGTAGAATTACAGTATGTGTGTGTGCCTCTGTTACATCACCTTTGCCTGTCTTGTAACCCCATATACCTAGTTTTATGTGACTTTCAAAATAAGAGTTAAGCACTTTAATTTTAATTTAACTAGCACAGAATTCAAAATATGAATTTCAAAGGAAATTTGACTGCCCAATTCTTAGGAGCAATTGTCTAATTGCACATGGACCAACAAAAGCAGTCATTATTATTCAATGATTGACTTGTCATTGCTACATATCCTTGCCTTTGCAGGCAGAATACTTACCTGCCTGCATAGTCAATTACCTTATAACACTGCCTGCATAATTGGGTAGTTACTGGACTGTAAAATTTTACCCTATCCTGCATTGCTTTTGGTTCAGCATCTTCGTACTTAAGAACCTGGTACATTTTCTCTATTTTAATTTAACTTCTAGCATGTGAGGAGTTGCTAGGACCAGAGGGAGTAGGAAGATTGCCCCTTTGGCTTAACAGTGCAGAAAAGATCATGATAAGTACAAATCAATCAACACAATATGAACCAGGAGGCAGGATAAAGGAGATGCGAGTTCACATTAGATTATTTAGTTATTTATGGCAGCAGTGGGACTTGAACTCAGGGCTTCACAGTTACTAGGCAGGCACTTTTACTGCTTGAGCCACTCCGCCAGCAAGATTATTTTTTGAAAGCTTATGAAAAAGTAAACTAAACTAAGTTTTTTTGCTATTATAATACTATAAATGATATATTAACTTTGCCTGAGACTCTCAAGGTAGTTGCAAGGTAGCTTTTTAAAACTTGAATAGTTTTAACAGCTATTACTGAAGGCTTTCATAAACCTATGAAGTAGATAGATGTGAAATACAAATATTAAAACCCTGAGAAGTGGATCTCACCTTATCTACAGACGACATTGTTCTGTTCATTTATACCTGAACACAGATACAGCTACCCATGTGTTCTGGTGATTGCTCTAAATTCCCAGGGTCCCAGATGAGGTTACAGCCTTACCTCTCTGGATAGATCACCCCCAATAAAAATAAATGAATGAAACAAAGCTCTGTGTGATCACGTGGTGACTACCGATATTGACAGTTCCATCACAGGATGCTTGTGGCATTTCTAGCAACCCACAAACAATGAAGAGGTAAGAAGGAAACTTTGGGAATGTGATCACACTTTGCCAAATCCTACAATGCATCCCCACAGACCATGTCTGGAGTTAGGCGAAACTCAGGCTCCGAACATCCTCTTCCCCTCCTCTCCACCCATCCCAACTGTCACTGTTCCCACAGGCCCTTATCTGCTCTCCCCCTAGAATACATACCTGGGTGAAGGGCACTGTCCTACAGGTCTCCTGGTGCACTTCATGGCTTTTGATAGGCAAGATGACCCCCTGAGAAGCTGGACTCTTTCTGAACATGAAATGGTACCAGAATTTCTTGGCTTCCTCACGAAGAGGAGATTGTTCCACTTTCATTCCATCCAGTGGCTGAGGGAGGGCCTGGGTCCTGGGTGGGAAGTGCTCACTTTCCAGGTCTCTGGGATGGTGTAGTACTCTCTCAGGTTTCTTCCAGAATCTTCCAAACCTGGATGGCATCTTCTCTCTCTGCCTCTGATCTTCCCCTGCCAGACTAGTGCCTATCAAGTGTGGCACTGCCACAAACAGATCTGGCTTGTCCTCAGCTTCCTCTTGGTTGCCCATGGGTAGCTCTCTGCGACTCCTGTCCAGGAGCACAAAGGAAAGAGAACTTTGGCTCTGCCAGCCATCTGGGTGATGGCCTGCCTTCCCTAGAGGTAAGAGCACAAGCAGCTGGAGCAAGAGGAGACACATGCTGCCAGGGCTCCAGAATTCACAGGTTCGGATTCACAGATGGTGAGGCCCAAAGGAGAAGCTCACTCTGCAGGACTGTGAGCAGGACAATCTATATATAGATACCTGCCTGGTGGGCTGAGAAGGCAGGTGGTCAGTAGCCAGGCAGAGTAAACACATGGAGTGTTTGCTTGAATTATGTAGTGCTAATGGTGTCTTGCCTTCGCTTCGATTTTGTGTATTTTAGAAGGCCCCAGTGAAAGCCTGGGACCCAGGGGGTAATTAGCTGACAGTTTAGCTGTCGTCTGAGATTTAAGGAGCTGTATCAACAAAAACAACTCATTCCTCACTGGGATTTCCCATCACTGTTATTAGAAAAGGAAACAGTCAGCTAACATTTGCTGTGAATCTGTGCTGTGATGGGATGGCAGAGATGTGGCATATCAGATAAAAATTAAAAGCATACTTTTAACAAAAGTCAGGCCTTTAGAAAAGCTATTTACATACACACACACACACACACACACACATATACATGTGTGACTACAGAATATATCAAAATAGTGAAGAAAGGAAAGACAAGAGGATGCTAACTTTGCTGAGCCGGAGACTTACTGCTTTTTACATGTGGATTGAGGTTGCAGATAGTAACAGGGCACACTCCCCTTTTCCACACCTGGAAACTCGTAATTCCATCTTAATCCTCTCACATTAAGAACCAAATACTGGGTGCTAAATTCCACAACTGGTCAGGGCTCAGTAAACTCTTCCAATTGTTTGTAAATTTCTCAACAGGACCCTAAGTACTTACAGGCTGGCAGCTATCAGCCTTCTGTGAGGATGGGGAAAATGTATCCCTCAAGCTAGTTAGCAATTGTTTTTCTTTCTTTAAATAATGAGCTAGACTTGAGAAGGTGGATTCTGAGAACCAGGTTGGGTGGGTTTGGGCATGAAGCTGGCTGTTGTTTCCTTACTTACTGAATCCACATTTTCCTTTATTCTGCAGTAACTGACGATCAGGTTAAATAAAGACTGAGACAAGCATGAGTCTTCAGGGATCAAAAATAAAATTGTTCAGTGACTTCAGTGAAATCAGCCAAGATATGAGAAACATAAAACTGAAAGCATAGAATATGATCTAGTCAATCACAGCATTCCAACAGCATTCACACTGGAGATCAATGAAATATTTGCTCATATTTCTCCCTTTTTTATCTACTCATCACATTCTACTCTTTCAGTGACAAACAATCCTTAACTTTTTTTTCAGTACTGATTAAACTTTTCTTTCTAAGACTTGGCCCTTTGGAATATTTTTTCCAGGCATTTGTGTTCTTCTGGATTTCTGAGAGATAAAGCCTCAAACTAGTTCCTTTACTTATAGCAATAATAAACAATTTTGAAATGAACCAACATTTTACCAAAATTCTATGAGAAGGCATATATTTCACCTGTACCAAATACCCCTAGAACCTGTACTAGTATTAATCTAAGGTGCTCTAATCCACAGTAAATGAACATTAATATTTGCTGTTTTATTTTTTTATTATTGTTGTACTGAGGGTACACTGTAACATTTACAAAAGTTCTTACAATGTATCATAGTTGAATTGCTGCTATTTGAAATTCTTAATGCCATCAGCCATCCTGTGCAATGTGCCTTCCAGAGCCACCACTAGGTCCCCTGGTAATAAATATGGTATAAAAGCCAACTATCATACATTTCCTGATTCCTTTTAAACTTTATTTCTCGGTGACTAAAATTCCATCACTATTGATCACATAGTATCTAGCATTTCCCAAATGGAAGGTTGACCTAGAATTTCATCCTGGTCTCAGGCCGTTGGCCCTGGAATGACTGGCCACGGGATATAGTTGAAATCATTTCTGTTGCACTGAAATTTGTAGGAGTCTCACTTTGTGAATCAAGAATCTGAACAGACACTAACAGATGCCTGAAAATAATTAAAATTTGGTCCCTGACCTCAAGCAGGTTAGACAGTGTATGGATATTACAGGTTTTTGGATTTTATTAGCTACAGGAATGTATGTCACTTACAGAATTTTAACCTTCCTTTAAACCTAAATTCCTTGTTCTCTGGATCCAAATTTCAGTGCTTGTAAACATTACTTAAAGATAGCTCCTAGAGAATATCTTTGTGCTGTTCTGTCATTCCTGTGAAAGTGTGCAAATATCCTTCCTGAAGGGTAAAAACCTGGTGAAGAAGAACCTGTGATGAGAACAACAGAACCTAAACCCTCATCCAGATCCTGCCTCTTACAGCTAAGGGCAGACAACACTCACCTCTTTTGGCACTCTGTCTTCTTATCACTTCTCAAACTATGTATGTGATAAGTTATAGTCTACTATTAAGAACAAAAATGTTGGAGGCCAGTCCGAGCAAAAAAAGTTAGTGCAGCCCCCTCCCCACAAACAAGCCAGGCATGATGGTGCATGCCTGTAATTCCAACTACTTGGGAGACATAGGTAAAAGGATCATAGTCCAGGTCAGTCCTGGGCAAAAAGTTTGAGACTCTACCTGAAAAATAACTAAAGCAAAATGGGCCGTGGGCATGGCTACAATGGTAGAGCACCTGCCTCTCAAGTGCGAAGGCATCAGGTTTCCTTTCAATTTGGATGAACCAAGTGGAGTTGGTCTGGAGGAGACCTCCTGACACAGCAGAAACTGTCCTGAAGACAGCACCACAAACTATTGGTGTGTTTTGCGACAAATGCCCAAAGAGCCTAAGTCTGCTTCCTGAGCCAGCCTCAGGCATGTGTGAGAGCCAGAGTAGCCACCTCATGTCACTCACTATAGTGGACAAGTCAGTCATTATGAACTGACTCTGTTTCCAGCTTGACCTGGTTGTCAGGGCACTAGGAATCCCCAGAGGACTTCATGGAAACCCAAATACAATATGTTTCCTTATACTGGTGGCACTTTTACAAAATGGACAGGGAAGCAGGCCATGAAAACCAAACACTCAAGAGACCTGTTGAGTCTTGGTGTCTCTCACAAGCTGCCTGTGAGAGGACAATGACAGCTACATTCTCTGTCCTTTTACTGAGATGGGGAAGGAAGCTGAAAAGATGGCAGATGCCTTCTGAGCAAAAATAGAAAGGCTAACTCCTTCACAAGAATCCCAGTCTCAAATCAACAAAAGGTGAGAGGCAGTGTTGAGGAAGGAGATGGCCACGAAGTTAAACAGGACAGCTGACAGGTGGGAAGGGGACTTTGGGCTGATGGATTTGGGAGTGAAATTTGTGAAGGCTACATGCTGTTGCCTCAATACTACCTCTCTTTTCAAAATACAAGGTAGCAATAGTTTCATGAGAGTTTAGATGATTTTTAAAAAGTAAAAAGAAGGCAGATCATTCCTCTTGTTTTCCAAAGGACCAGGAAAGAGGGAGAATAGTTTAGTAACATTTTTAAAATGAAGAACTCTTCCTGCCAGTCTGCTGCCTGCCCTTTCCATGGGAGGATACACTAGGAAGAGCCTCATTCTCCAACACTGCTCCACCCACTGTGCTCATTCATTCACTCCTTCACTCATCCATCCATTCACTCCTTCATTCATCCATCCATTCAGTCATTCATTCATCCGTCCATTCACTTATTCATTCATCTACTCACTCATTTATTCACTCACTCACTCATTCACTTATTCACTCACTCACTCACTCATTCACTCATTCATTCACTCATTCACTCATTCATTCACTCACTCACTCGTTCATTCACTCATTTACACAGCAGACATTTGAGTGCCAACTCTGTGCTAGGTCCTAGAGCTAAACAATGAGGTGTCTCTGTCCAGGCCTAGTGGATTTTGCAATCTGCAGTGAGAGTCTAGTTTATACATGATGAGTTATATAAGAAAAATTAGGAAGGCAATTCCATTCCTGTATTAATCAGGAACTTTGAAGTAGACCCAAATGTCAGCAGAGGACAAGACAGTGTTCATGTTAATTTACTTAATAATTATTTGTTGAATGCAAGGAAGCACAGTAAACATTGTAAAATAAGTTTATTTTATTTTGGGTAGGTAATAAGTACACAAAGAAACCAATTTCAAACAATACAAAAAATGTACACAATGGAAGGTGGGTCTTCCTCGGACCCCTCCCTTCACAGCTCCCTGTCCCTGCCATAGAAGCAATGCCTGTCATTGGTTTATTGGTTTCTTTCACCAATCTTTTCTTCTTCTTCTTCTTCTTCTTCTTCTTCTTCTTCTTCTTCTTCTTCTTCTTCTTCTTCTTCTTCTTCTTCTTCTTCTTCTTCTTCTTCTTCTCCTCCTCCTCCTCCTCCTCCTCCTCCTCCTCCTCCTCCTCTCCTCCTCCTCCTCCTCCTCCTCCTCTCTCCTCCTCCTCCTCCTCCTCCTCCTCCTCCTCCTCCTCCTCCTCCTCCTCCTCCTTCTCCTTCTTCTTCTTTTTTTAGTAGTACTGGGGTTTGAACTCAGGGCACTCCATCACCTGAGTCACATCCCCAGTCCTTTTTTATTTTTCAGATAGGGTTTCATGTTTTTGCCCAGGATGGTTCTTGGATTATGATCTTCCTATCTAAGGCCTCCTAGGTAGCTGGGATTACAGATATGAGCCACCATGTCCAGTTTGTTGAGTGAGATGGGATCTCACTAACTTTTTGCCCAGGCCATCCTCAAAACATGATCTTCCTGATCTCTGACTACAAGTAGCTCAGATTACAGGCATGAGTCATCACACTCAGCCTTTAGTCACTTTTTAACTGTCATCCAAAGAGACCAAAATGTGTAACCAATAGGAAATAAACCAAATATCAAACAATGTTACAGCCTTCAGAGTCCCCCATTTCTACTTTTAGGCACTGATGCATAAATTTGATTATTCTGTTTGTACTTTTGGTGATCGTGTGTTGTGCTCTCTATCCAAAGCACCCCCACACCATTGAAAAAATTGTATTGTTCGCTTTGCTTTGCAACAGAGGATGTATCTATTACTGTGCACAAGTCAAGGACAATACCATATTGTGTTCAATCTGCTA